ATTATTTGGGGTTCTTAGAGAATTTTAACAATATGGTTCTTCCATATTGTTCATACAGACTCAGATGAACAGATTACCCTTCATAGTCATAGACATCTTCATTCCAAGATGCCTGTTCATTATTTGAATCCTCCTTCAATGCTCTGATGTATGACTTATAGTTACCAATATAAAAATCTTTCACTGTTTTGATTCAAATTTTCCTAAATATTTACTTAAATTTGTGGATCTTGTGAATGGGATTATTACCTTGATTTCTAGGTCAGGTGATTCATTATTAGTATATGAAAATCTTTTTATTTGGGGTTAGGCTAAGGGTATCTTCTTGGTTTTTAAAAATGTTTTTACATATGTTACTATGTGAATTACCTTTCTTGTTCTTTTGAAGTTTATTAAATTTTGTTATCACTCTATTTTAGGACACACTTACAAGTTTTCCTACAGTTCTGAACAGCTTCTGGCATCTTACTTTTACTTCTGATTGGGGTCAGCGTTCTTTGAAAACTCTCTGTTTGTCGGTGTATGGCATCACCTGGGCACTCATGGATTAAGCATTTACTCTAGTCCTCATAATCTGGCTATTAGGTGTTTCCAGAAAATTAATTAGACTTCTTATTTCCACAAGCATGTATTAACATTTGTGTTAATCATCACTGAATAACACTGACATCTCCTGATGTCAACATTTATGACACGCCCACTCTTGTGTGTCATCTGCTTTAGCACCGGAAGGTGATCTAAGTCTAGGTTCATCTCGTCTTCAGGTGGTACATTCTTCAGGATTAACTAGGGGAGACTGTGAAGGATGATCTGCTTCTCTCAGTCAGTATGAGGGTTGCAGATGAGCCCAAATAACACCTCCTTCGCTGAACTGTGGTTTAGAACTGTAGGACTTTGACATTTGGGGCCAATAGAAAGAATATCAACATAGAATTGTGACCAAGAATTCTGCAGTGCTCTATCATCCTCTGAGCTGACAGTCCATTAAGGAAAGTAAGAGGGACCAAGGTCCACTGTGCAACATACTACCTATTGCTGAGGTGAACTCATGAACCAAAAGTTCTACAACCAGTCACATCTAATGTTGGGTGGAATAAGAAATCAATAGGCTGGAACTGCCTGTGCTGCCTAATACAGAGCTGGTCCTACAGCTTCCTGTACACAAGGGTCTGCGAGTAGCAGTCTATAGGATCTGCTCAGATTTAAGAACCCCATCTGACACTATGAGAACCAAAGCAGTCCTACGTCCAGGAAGTGATGTCTTTCCCCATGCTATGCTGCCTGAGGTTGGAGTGGGATTAGTGTAGGCAGTCAGATCTCTACCAAGGAAGCCCTGATGCTTGATTCCATCTGGGTCTCACAGCAACTAGTACCTGCAGTTTCATGGGGCACAACCATGCTGGGGCTTTAGCTCACAGTGATGCAGGCCAAACATATTTATGACAAAGATACAAGGCCCTGTGAGATTCTACAGCAATGGCTAGAAAGCGCTGTGCCTAAAAGCACTGGCCTAGGAATCTCTACCTTGTCTGAAGTTGGGAAAGGTGTGGTTATGATGACATCTTGAGAGTAAATTGGGCCTCACCTGATTTTCGCATCTGCAGGCACTTCTGCAATATGTGGGTTAGATAAGTTCCTTTCCCATGTCAAGGGTGATAATTATGCAGACTGGTATCTTTCTATGGTCTCTGGCCTGTGAATAGGGTTTTCTAGGTTCTGTTTCTGGATCCCAGAAGGAGCACCAGTGCGAACTTCTATGTTAACTCTTACACTATCTTCCCAATACACTGAATTTTACATTTGCTTTCAAAATGGGAAGGGTTGTGTCACCCAGTTGGGCCTTCCTGTCTGACATAGTTCCATTGGTCTGTCTCTGTATAGTCTTAGAACAGAGACATGAAGGGCTCTGTCTGTACTCATTGTCACTGTGCTGGCTTGGTAGTGGCTTTGAAGTGTTAGAAATAGAATTAAGACTTTCTCCTCTCGTCAAGCCTGAAGGATATTTCCACGTGGAATTGGGAGGTTGTTGCACAATACAATTTACCCCCTACCTTTTTAATGTATATTTTACTATGATAAGATACCTAGCAAATGTGGTCTTTTACTTGCCCTCTTTAGCTATTGTACTGAACTTTTAACGATGTTCCAATAAAGGAGGTTGAGTTATACAATGGTTCATTTTTAGAGGTGACTACGTATTGTACATCGTGAACAATAGTCCAGGCTCCTGACTTTTCCTCATAGTAAGCGTCTCATGACTACATGAGGACAGATGGGAAGAAAGAGGGCAGTAGAGCAAGATGGGGCACCATCTTAGTTGTATCCATTGCTGGAAGAAAACTCATGAGACACAATTTATGAAGAACAAAATATTTTTTGGGAATTCACAGATTAGGGAGAGTCAGTTCATTTTCCAGGAGAAACTGATCTCAACTTCCAAGAAGCTGCCATATTAAACATCTTCTAGAATGGTGTGATTTTAGGTCCTCCCATGGATAAAGGCAGCAGAACAAGAGCACTTAGGTATATCTCATACAGGCCGAATAGATTGTTAGATGGGATGCATTTTGCCTAATGGTGACACTAATATCAGCAGTCCCTCCAGGGATGCAGTTGTGCTCTTGATGTACTGTTTTCTCAAATAGGGGCAGCTCTGCTGTCTTCCATTTGGACTTTTCAACCATAATGGCCCTCACTTCACAGGATATAAAGATCCTGTCAGGAACCAGGTGTTTTTATCCAGTAATGCATCTTGGGACTCAATGGTTGACCCACTATGAGTTGGACCTCAGGTAAAACATAGTTGATCACCTGACTTTCATAGTCACTGGATGGTCACAGTGGTGCTGTGAGTTTCATGGTATCAATGTCAGCTCATAACCGGTGCACAGTAGTGTCACAGGATGGTAATGTTTCCTTTTTTGCTGATATATGCTTAGCCCGGTTGGAGACCATGGGTGTGTTTCAGGAAATATTGCAGAATGAGTTACAGTATAACTTTTTTATGTTCTCTCATCATGTAGATGTGCTACTTATTCATTTAAGGGATTCTGGGTCTCAACACAGCTTTATAACAAGTGATTAGTTGAGTGAGGGTGAGTCATTTTTGTAATGATTCCAGGTTCACTGTCATGCGTCTGTTCTGAATATTTTCTTCCAAAAAATCTTGGAAAGATGTAATAGATTTCCCAACTTACTTCTTGGGAGTTACACAAGTAATTAGTGACCATCAAAGGCCTGCATAACTCTGGCCAGTTTGCTTATGAATAAAGCATTTGCCCCAAGCTCCCTTATGATAAGTTCACCCATATTTTTGAGGCTTGAATGCTGCCACTTTGTGGCAGTTCAGTCACACCCATCATATTTCTGCTCCCCAGCTGATTCACCATGGTCCTACTCTAATGCCGGGCATACTAAGACCAGTGACAGCACAGTGATAATGCTGGTGATTCATCCCCAAATCTGTTCCTTACATTATTGGTGAAAGGCCCATATTCTGCACCCTCCAGTGGGGATGAACTTGTTTTACATGGCAAATACACTCTACCATTTCAGCCTTCTTGAAGCCCCATTCACAGTGAACCATCTTTCAATCTATACTTCACCAACTGCCAGATAAACAGTTAGCACCCTTTAAGAAAAAAAAAAAGCTTAATCCCATTGGTACCCTTTGTTTGCTTGTTTGTTTGTTTGGTTTGAAGTAACAGGGTTCGAACTCTGAACACTATGTGTGCTTATGCTCCTGAGCTGTCTCCCAAGCCTGGTAGACTTTTGATATACATAACGTGCACTTTCACCAATTCATCTTAATTGTGGTGCAGGTAGCTTTGAGCGCCATCCTACAGCCCTAATACCCATTTCCATATACACAGTCTAAAGAGCCCTCTTCTAAGAATGAGAACCCTCAAGCTGGACACCACTGTGTTGAGTGAGCATATCTCACAGCATGGCCCACACCCACATTCCAATATTCTTAAGGCTTTTAATCCTTTCCTAGCATTTTTGGCTCAGGATGGCTCATCATTTGTGTTTCATTCATTATGGACTCCCTGTTTGCTTCTAGCATGGCCAATTCCCCAGAGTTTTTTCTAATTCACTGAGCTGCAACATTAGAGAAGCTTTGCTTCATGAACCTATTAATAAATTTGATTTGTGCTGACTTTGTTTGTTCTGCAACTATCCCTCAATCTTAGATTCTACACATATATTCCCAGATTTCTGTCTGTGTAATTTTTAACGGGAGTTTAATTACAGATAAAGAAGGAAAGAGTTGTGCTGAACTTGGGCCCTAAATCCTGCTGTCATTTTCTTGTCTTGGAGAGCTGTTAAATGTTAGCGAATGCCTCTGAGGAGATCATGGGACAGTGTTGCCTTGAAGCTCAAACTTAGCTTCTGGAAAGATGGCTATGGTCATGTTCATGAAAAAAAGTTGCCAAACATTTCTAAAAGTTCTGATTTATATCTGGTTTGTACTCACATAAAGCATTAGTGATCCTTAGTATTTTCAAAGGTAAAACCAGGACTTAGGTATTAGACAAGAGTAGATAGCCACTGATTGACTGTAGGATTGTTAAGGCCCCAAAAGATGGTTCTGTTTGTCACTCCTTAAGAAGTTTTAGAAACAACTTATTTTGAAGGGAAAGGACAAAGGGTTTATTCAAAGCTAGCTCTGAAGAAAACAGGGAAACTTATAAGCCAAATTCATTTTTTTCTTATTCATGTGTACAGAGATCTGAGGTGTCTGAAGTGAAAGCAAGAAACAAAATGGAGCAGAGAAGATTTTTGCACTGCTTGAGCCCTAGCCCTTTCCATTCTCAGCTCCTTGCCTCCCTGTGAATACAGAACAGACCTCCACCTCCTGAGGTTAACGTGCAAACATGGGCTTCCAGGGCACTGCTTGCTGCATCCCTGCATCTGAACCGGAGACTGCATAGAACACTCCACAGGAAGAAGTTGGAGATGTAGTTCATCTCTAAAATAAAAAGAGTTCCAATATTTTCACCTGTGAAGGTCAAAGGACAGTAAAGAAAATAAGCACCTATGTCCCAAGTGACTCCAGGTATGTCTGATTTTCTTCTAATTTGCTTCTTTCCTGAAGGTGACGCTAGTTGGGCCCTTGGAGAGGCAATCACCTTGGATAATCACCTTGGGTCCAATGTTGCAGTTTGTTTTTTGATTTGTTTACAGCCAGGACCTTGAATAGAGTTGGAGATGTCTTCACCACTCACAGGCTCGTAGTTCACTCTGTTCCATCTTAATTACCTCAGTAATAAGGTGATCAATGATACAACGCAGATCTCAGCCATGCTTTGAATTTCTCATGTTCCTATATAGATTGTAACTACCTGGGGAATTCTTTCTGCCTCTCCATGTAAGCAAGTCAGGCCTCTTCACAGTCTGAGTGGGAATCATCACAAGAGTGACACGTGAGAGATGGCAGTAAGGGGATTGATTAAGGCAGTGGCAGAAAGGTTGTAGTTTACCTGAAAATTGGCTTCAACCAGCAGCCCTAAGTCCTCTAGTGTAGACATTGTATTCTAGGCCCTGACCAAGTGGACTTCCTTTCAGCAAAGAGGACCAGTACCCTGTGCCTCCTGTGACATTCATGTACCAGCCATTGGGATGCATGTGGGTAGTAGGCTAATGCCTTCAGTGAACCTCCTATTTTCTATAGTAAACATGTTCACAGAAGGGCAGGGCTGTGCATTGTTAGATGCCCAGACTCACAACACAGGTGCTCAGGTGCACTTACCTGCAGCTAGCGATTTGAAATGCAACCCACACTGTACCTGCACTCCTCAGTCCTTCTGTCAGGAATCAAGTTGAAGTCTGTTGCCTTAATAATCAAAGCAAGAAATCACCTTATCTCCCTAGTGAGTCTTTCTCCTTCATTCTACTTCTGAAACTGACCCGAGAGTTGCCATTCTAGAACTGCAATCTGATGACATCTAGTGGCCTCACCTGCAGCACATAACATACGCACATCATTTCCCCTGTCCAGAATTCATTAAGTTTTCACATGATTGTCAGACATCTATAGATCCTGGCTGCTTCTATTTCTCCCATCTTGTATTTTACAAATTCCCCTTACACTAATTTTGTGTATTGATTGATGCCTGACACTTAGCAAGATTGCATAAATGACCATTGAAAAGCAGATGGATCAGCAACCACTGAAATGTTGAACTGGAAAAGAAATGCAGTTCTAGCACTTGATTATCCTCACTGTGGCTGACCCCAGGCCTGCTGGCTCCACTGGGATTTTTTCATCCCACAGGTGCTGCTTTCACTTCTTTTTATCTCTGAGTCCTCTCTTTTTTTATGATTATGCTACAGTTTATTTAGCACAACTTCTTTTGTGAAGATACAGGTTATTTGACATCTTTTGCTCATATAAAAGGTTCTATATTTAATAATTCTTTATATTTCTTATTTTGAAAGCATAAAGATATTTATATAGCATTAATTCAAGAGAGTAGAATGCTGGATCAAAAGACGTGAGTTTGGGGATTGAAGGAGTTCTTCTTTTTTTTTCCTTGTCGTGTAGTTTTCATTATGGAATTCTTTTTTTCCCATAATTTTATTGATAAACAAATAGCAATGAGACAGTTTCAAAT